TAAACTTGTGATAGTATTTCAGAAAAGAAAAATATTTGCTTTTTTGTTGTGAATATATATTACGTTTCTGAGAAATTTTTGTATTATTCAGACGATTTTATAATAATTCGTTTTATATCTTCTTTCTTATAGTTCGTTACCATAGTTAATATGTGTGATGAATTCTGAATATTTGAAATACAAAAATTGAGTAAAAATTGAATGAAAAATTAAAGAAAAAGTGCATATTTCCCTTAAATTACGCGAGACAAAAATAAAAAATTATGTTCTATACAGGTCGTGCCTTAAGTATAGTAAATTCACCTTTTAAATTAATATACATTATTAATAATTTGCAATTTCGTTGATTAATACAATCGACTAATACCAACTTCGAACGAATCGAATGTGTTAAATGGAAAGTAAGTTGTGCTGATTAATATGTCGAAAGATAACTGCCAGACAGTAGTTATCAAACGAATGGTGTGGGAAATTACGAGTGACAGAAGGTTAGTCATCCGACAAAATGATAAAACTACAAAATCCTAGGTACACTTATATTGAATAAAACATTCAATATTCTCCGAGCGTTTTATTTGTCTTGCTCTTTGCTCTAGATTTATCCTTTTAAACGCAGGTTTAAGGAAAACTTGGTAAACGTAATTTACAAATTTAAAAAAAAATTAAAAAATAAATTCCAGTTGCAATGAAAAATTAATTTTAATTCTATAAAATTCAATATTCATATTTATTAACACATAAATATTAATTTTATCAAATAAAAATGAATATTAATGGAAAAATGTAAGTCAACAAAAATCGCAACAAATTATAATTGCCCCAATTCGAATGTAAACCATTCGAGTGTTATTCCGCCAAAACAGTTATCCCCTCTTATTCTCATTTTGCCTATCGAGAAAGCATCCTATTGACTATCACACATTTTATCGTGTAATTACACGCGTATCATTTTATCGGTGTAAGACGTCAGAAAAATCCGTGTCACTTTTGCAGATCAGCATTTCTTATCGCCCCGTCATCGACACTACATTGGACGAAGAAGAGGCTCAACACGTTCCTCCATCAGTTCGAGCCTACTGATATAACCATAAAAGCCTACCTGACTTTTTTTTCCTCTTATTATTATTACCGTTTCACATTTTTTCTAATTTCTCGCTCTATTTTTTTTTTTTTTTAATTAAAACACCGCTGAAGCCTATTCGTTCCTCGCGTTAACGTAACTGTTAATTCGAACACGAATTAAGGTATACTTAAAGAAGTAGGAATCGAAGATTTCGTCGGTTAGTACAAACTGGCTGTGTGTGTCCTATATAGCTTTTGTTTATCACGCCGAAAACGCTCGGTGTTAGTTCAGTTAATTAATTCCCACCGGAGGTGCAGACCTGTCCACCATCTTATTTGCATAATTCCGTCGACGAAACGCATCACTTAATGACCGGAATCACATCCTCCCCGAGCGAAAGCTATATATTTTTCACGCTGTTTCGCGATCATTCTGAGACACCAGAACGCGATTATTAATTAACACCTGTTGCTTCCAACTGTTTTCGATTGGATAGAAATTTGTAAATGTCAAGTTGGTAGTCCGTAAAACCTGGCTAATAGAAATATATTAATTATAGCGTAATATATTTAATATGTGTTTTGTGTGAATAACTCCTGAGACATGATTATTAAAGAGTGTTTGGTTTGACAAATGTGTATTTATTTGTTCCTCAATTTTTCGTTTAAATGTTGGTACTTATTGAGGAAAACAATTTTGCGTATTTCAAATTGAGGTTGAAAACTTTAAATAGTTTTCAAAAAATATTGTATGTTGTCGTAATAAAATTTTTGAAATATTAGTTATTACTAGAATGCGGTAAATTTGAATTTAATTGTACAAGTAAATGTCGAATCGTAACTAACTGTATGTATATAACGGAATAACGGTTGAAACCATAATTGTGGAAAGTATAAGAAAAATTTGCATAGAATTCTAAAAATATTCCAATTACGTACGAAAACATTCGGATATATGTGAATATAAGTACCTTACACTCAGCTAGAGATGTATGAATACGCATAAACGCGTTTCATAAAATACTCCTACGCCTTCTAACATTTGAATCATTATTGCGTTAGTAACATCTGGCTAAACAGGTTGTCTATGTGCCTGCCCCACTATGTGGTTATAAGGTTTACCTATGTGTATAACGAGACGAGCCTACGAAGAAGCAACCAATGAGGAAACGAGACACGCGTCGTGCCGCCAACCCCACAGCACGACAAATCTTTCGCACTTTTTTGTTTCTCTCTGTGCTACAGGAAATAAAGCTCGGACACCGTTACCCAAGCTGTGTTAACAACCTTATAAAGCACGAGCTTTTTTTACGCAGCGAAATGATGCACGATTCGAAACCCAACGAACGTAAATTCTGCGATTTTTTACAATCGCGCAATTTACACGTTGACAATTAATTCGTGAAAAAAATAATATTCCACGCGTAATAACGAATGATCAAATTTGAATTCTAAAAGGTCACGGTTATGTAAATGAAAATGAATTTAGTTTTCTAGCGACAATTACCTTTCACTAGCACGTTTCATTTATATCAATAAATATGCATACTTATCTGTTAGAAATTTGACTTACTTGGACTTTTCAGCTAAATATCCATCGTTTAGAACACAGGTAAAAGTATGACGTATATTGCACAAGTCATAACGAGTACTTTCCCTTTAGAACCCACGCAATCGAACAGCTACACAATTCGAAATACCGTTAGCACCCCATTGCACGTACAGTGAAATGAGAACCGCTTGATTTCTTTCGCGGCATCGTTTAATTTTCCCGCCCACGGTAAGCTGCTGTTCAAGATGTTAATTTAAAATTTTCGAGAAACGAGAAACGAACGTTAAGGCAATTATACGACGCCGATACTTGAGACAATCGAAGAGTTCATATAACCCACGATGAGACCGAAATAAAAAATTCGCGAGTGTCTTAAAGGTGAGGTTATCTTACGACGGTACTATTGGCAGCACTGGTATTCATCAGGGAGCTTCCGCCAGTAGTCGGTACTCAACCGACTCGAACGCTTTATGTTGCCGTGCAAGAAGTGCGGGAGTGAAGTTAACGAAAATTAGGGTTAGTTGTACGGTACGACCGTATCGCGCATTCAACAAAGAGTTGCGCGTATCACTGTTAACAACAAAATTTCTACTTGGACAAGTGACATTACGACAAGATGAGTGGTCTATTGAAGCTGTCGTCTTTACTCGTGAGAAATCCTCCCACGACGACATTGGTAAGTCGTTTTTCATTAAGTTACATAATTTTTATTCTAACAATGATGCACCTTTGCTGTGCAATACTCAGCATCGACCAATTACGTAAGTTTCCTAAACACGTTTCACCAAATATCCATATCGATTCTTTCAGAAAATTTTCCTGGTTAAGAACGTCCCGAAATCCTTCGTAACTACTATAAAAACCATTGATAAATAAATATGAAAAATACGACAATGGGACTGACAATGATTTGGTCAGATTTGAAATAGATAAGAGAACGTTTAGCAGACGATTCTAATGTCGAGTGTCTTTTTTTACCGTGCTTCCCTCATTTCATACGCGCCACCCCACAAATAGCCGGCCTCTGCACGATGATCATGATTTTCCACTGTAAAGTAGGTAACGGTGATTCTAATTTCCGTTATCTTCGTTAAACAAACTATTGTTTCTCTTTTTACCACTTCAATATCGTACCGAAACGCGCAATACCGAAACCAGCCGTCGTATTACACTTTAGAAGTTTAATTATAATTGCAGATAAGCTACCGGCACGGGAAGCTGACATTAGCGGGAAATTACAGTCTTTAAATTATGATTTCATGTGTTATGAACATATTGACTTTATCGTCTCTTGGCTCCTCTTCACCTGATTTTATTTCCGCCGTATTTATTGCGCACAAAAATGCAATAGTAACATTTAGATAATTCCTAAATCTAGATCCCGTTAATTTATTCCGCATTTAGCGGTATCTTGTGAAACACGTTAAACTATAAATACATTTTATAACAGTTACCGATTTGTTTAATATATCAATTAAATGTAAAAGATAAAAATTTGAATGTATCATGGAATAAAGAGTTTGTTACAGACCACGTATCATTTTCTTTAACCTCCATATGGTGAATCGTGTTCATAGGTAGTAGTACTGTGATTTTACTGTTCAAACATTATTTTCCATTTGATAAGAATAATTACTCTTCGATGTAAAATATATTTTCAGACATTTGAATAATGTGTTCAATGAACAATAGTCAATTCATATATTTTTTTAGTGTTCTGCGATAAAATTGTACGAAGTATAATTAACCTTGTTTATATTATCGAGTATCACGCGGCTTAATTAATTATGTAATTTTATATATCGTCACATCTCTGTTATTAGTGTTATGCAAGATTATTATCAAAAATAATACTTTAAAATTATTTTGAGTACAATTTGTACGAAAAGGTATTTATAATTTTGGTATATATGTCAAAATATTATTTTAGTGTGAAAGATAATATTTAAAATTAAATTTTTTTTTTTGAAAATCGGTGTATCACGTATAGAACGAGTATTAAATATTAAACAATGGCGGAATTGTTAATTAAATCAATATGTGTTTTACAATGACTCAAATTGTGTCATGTTGCTTTTTACAACTCAGTTTCTAAAACTGTTTTGTGCTTTATAAATAGACCATTAATGCAATGTAGTTTTGTATATATGTAGCTATGTATGCACATACACACATACATATATTATGTACAGAAACTATAGATATAAGATTCTGTTATAATTTTGTAATTACCATGTGTTATAGATATCTCTACAAATTCTAATCAATTCCCTTATTATGTTTTCACATAATTTCAGAATAAATTGGGATTACCTGTCATTGCTAATCGCAAACTGCATTATACACCAGATGGCAAAGCTGCAAAAATCTCACAGGATATTTCTAAGCATTATCCATTGATAGATCATACTTATGATGCTGTTGTGGTGGGTGCTGGTGGAGCAGGATTGCGTGCAGCTTATGGCTTAGTTGCTGAGGGGTTCAAGACAGCAGTTGTTACTAAATTATTCCCTACAAGGTCGCATACTGTTGCTGCTCAAGGAGGTATCAATGCTGCTTTGGGTAATATGGAAGAAGATAATTGGCAATGGCACATGTATGATACTGTGAAGGGATCTGACTGGTTGGGTGATCAGGATGCTATTCATTACATGACACGTGAAGCTCCAAAGGCAGTCATTGAATTGGAGAATTGTGGCATGCCTTTCAGTCGAACTACAGATGGTAATATTGCTATAAAGTATAGCTAGTACTTTGTGCCTTATGTAGAAAGCAAATTTACGTTTTTTTTTTTTTTTTTTTTTTTTAACATTATGTGAGACATCAATGTATTTGATTCTAGTATATTAGTGGAATAAATTACCTTTGTAGTATGTGAAAATTGTGATTTTTCTCTAATAACAAATTACACAAATGAGAGAATTATCAAAATTTCAGTTGATTACAAGTACAATTACAATTATATAACCAATTGTTTGTTTATGAACTCACATCTGACAGATCTTCACTTGTATTTGTGCCTGCTGTATCTGAGGTGTATGAATCACTATCTGATTCAGTAGTATTCTTTTTCTTAGGTGTTTTTTTTGGTGCCTATAATAAAGATATGCTTATTGCATTTGTCAATGTATTTATTTTATTAGCAAAAAGTAAATAATTATAACTGCTTTGAGTAAATAAAATAATAACCCTTTTCTTTCTTGGTTTTTTGATTGGCTCTTGTTTCTGTGCATTTTTCTTCTTTATTTTTTCTGTATTTATATCAGATTTCTTTATATTTTCAATTTTTTGATGATTTTGTTTTTTATTTTTAATGTTCATGGATGCTTTTATATATGGTTGCTTTTCCTCAGAAGGCATAGTTCTCCATCTTTCACCAGCCAACTGAAATATTCTTGTACTTTTTATACCAACATAGTCCTATAAATGTAACAAAGTTCTGTTAATTTAATGGCCAAATAAGTGGATATTTCACATATTTTACTACCTGTCTGAAATCTTGAACAAAATTTATGAAAGGATTAGTACTTATCCATTGTTTAGAATTTTTGGTAGTACATGGTGAACGAGAACGATATAAGTATGAATAAAAAATTTATAAGATATGAATTACAATCACAAAAATACGTAACAGAAGTATACAAATTACTTATTTTTCTTTGCTCTATAATTTGATTCAGATTCTTTTATTTTCTGAGAACTGCTAGTAGTATCATTTCTGTACTCTTCATTTTCCCTATCTTTTTGATTTTCTTCGTTAGGTTCCTTATAGTTTTTCTCTTGCTTTCTAATTTCATCCATATTTGAAATCCATATAGTGTTTAGCTCTTTAATGTTTACAATAGTTCTCCTGCATTTTTATTCACAAAAGTGTTATTCTAGACAAAAAATAACAATTTTATTGCTAAAATTTATTGAAATATCGAAAAAGAAATTGATATGAATTTATAACTGACATTTAAAAATAACAAGTCATATTTTATGGTTGCCATGTACTTGAACATTGTTATACTTCATATTTCATTTAATTTCAGAGCAATATTTGTATATGAAAGGAATGATAAATTAAATTGTGTGTAAAATATTGCAAAAAATAAATATGAAGAATTGTTAAAAAATTCAATTTTAGTAGGTTTAATTAAGTTATGTACATCAATTTATTTATAATTTTAAATTGTACCCAAAATTGTTTCTAAAATAATGATTTTTATTTTAGGAAAAATATATCAACGTGCTTTTGGTGGACAATCTTTGAAATTTGGGAAAGGTGGCCAAGCTCACAGATGTTGCTGTGTAGCTGACAGAACTGGTCATTCTTTGCTCCACACACTGTATGGACAGTCTTTGAGCTATGACTGCAACTACTTTGTTGAATACTTTGCTCTGGATTTGCTCATGGAAGATGGAGAATGCAGGGGTGTGATAGCTCTTTGTTTAGAAGACGGCACACTTCACCGTTTTCATGCTAAAAACACAGTATTAGCAACTGGAGGCTATGGTCGTGCATATTTCTCGTGCACATCTGCTCATACATGTACCGGTGACGGTACTGCGATGGTATCTAGAGCAAACTTGCCTAATCAAGACTTAGAATTTGTACAATTTCATCCTACTGGTATGAAATAACTGACTTAATTTCTGTACTGAAACAATAACGTAGTAACCTATAAAATTATTTCAAATTTTAGGAATATATGGAGCCGGTTGCCTCATCACAGAAGGCAGTCGTGGTGAAGGAGGCTACCTCGTAAATAGCGAGGGTGAAAGATTTATGGAACGTTATGCTCCAGTCGCAAAAGACTTAGCCTCTAGGGATGTTGTATCTAGATCTATGACTATTGAAATCCGAGAAGGCAGGTGAGTCGTAAATGTCAAGTTTTTATAGATAAATCTATAATTTTTGGCGCCCATCTTTTGGCGTTTAATATAATATATTAAAACAATTGATTACACTGAAACATTAAAATTCAGTGATATATCGAGTATAATGTCATCTTCCATATTCACTTGTATAAAAGAGAAAGTTCTTTTTTTATTGGAATTGCAAATGAGGACTACATTGCAAAATTAAGTTTTATGTAATTGTATAATAAAATGATTAAGTTAAAAGAATAAAATTAATAGTTTAATGTGTTAAATGTAATCATGATAAGGGTAAAAATATATTATCAAACCATTGATTTGCACCGATATTTTGATTACATAACTAATGTGTGCATAACTTTACTTTATTTAGAGGTGTTGGTCCCGAAAAAGATCACATCTATTTGCAACTCCATCATTTACCACCTGAACAGTTAGCGGCCAGATTACCTGGAATCTCGGAAACAGCAATGATATTTGCCGGAGTGGATGTAACGAGAGAACCTATTCCGGTCATACCGACGGTACATTACAATATGGGTGTGTATTGATCTTGCTTAAAAAAAAAGATACTTATTTAGTATTATAAGTGTTACAGACTCGTTAGATAAAAATTTAATATTACCAAAAATGTAATCATGCAGGAGGAGTACCTACAAACTACAAAGGACAAGTTCTAATGAGAAAGGATAATCAGGATACAGTTGTGCGTGGGCTGTACGCCTGCGGAGAGGCAGCTTGCGCATCTGTTCATGGTGCTAATCGTCTTGGTGCAAATTCATTATTAGATTTAGTTGTATTCGGACGTGCATGTGCTAAGACAATTGCAGCAGAAAATAAGCCGGGAGAAACTATTGGAACTCTTAAATCTGTTAGTACAATTTTTTACAATGAGCATAAATCAGTGGAAGGCAAAAACTGATTGCGATAATCTGAATATGTTTAGAATGCCGGTGAAGAAAGTGTGGCGAATTTGGATTGGGTTAGAAACGCAAATGGTAACATTAGAACCGCGGAATTGAGATTGAGTTTGCAGAAAACCATGCAAACACATGCAGCTGTGTTCAGAACAGCTGAAACATTACAAGAAGGTAAAATATTGACTCAAAATTTTATCTGAAACGTTTATAAGTAAAAGTATTTTTAAATCTTGTTAGGATGTCAGAAGGTGTCAGCTCTTTACAAAAAAATGGATGATCTTAAGGTGTCAGACAAATCTATGATATGGAACTCTGATCTTGTAGAAACTCTTGAATTGCAAAATTTAATGATTAACGCCATGCAAACGATAATAGGCGCTGAAAATAGGAAAGAAAGTCGTGGAGCTCATGCACGTGAAGATTTTAAAGACAGAATCGACGAATACGATTACAGTAAACCGATAAAAGACCAACAACCAAAACCATTTGATCAACACTGGCGAAAACACACGCTCTCAAAGATCAATCCCAGAACAGGAGAAGTAAATAATATTAATAACTATAATTATATGCAAATTCGACAATCTATTTTTATATGACTTAATAAATAAAACTTACTTTTCAGGTATCTATCGATTTTAGACCAGTCATAGATGATACTCTAAATAAACAGGAATGTGCGACAGTTCCACCTGCAATTCGTTCCTATTAGATTTTCATCTAAAGTAAATACAATTTTAGCTTTTCTAGCTTTTCAACGAAATTTGGTCATCATCATCATGTCTTAAATTATCCGTTCGCACGACTGTTTTAATTTTTGTACAGGAGGGAACGACTGATAAGAAAAAGTTACCGATATCCTATCACCACAATGCAGCAAATTTATTTATTACTGCACGTGAATCACGTCGTGCACCAAAGTATAATTCTTGTCAATACTTGCACGCATGGCGGGCAAGATTAGTTGTCCTTGTAGGATAATGGTGCTGAGATTATCTTCATTATTTCAAAGAAGAGTTTGATCGATCTCCTAGCGAATCAGTGCTACGTTATTGTAAACTAAATAGTAAAATATAGCGTGATTCAGGCAGCAAATAATTTCACGCACAGATCTTTTAAGGAGGAACGTTCTCCTATCCTCTATGCGATTTATTCAGTATTTCTCAGTCAAAGTAATTTCTTTTTCTACCAAGCAATTTTGCAAAATGTACGTAATAATGTTAAGAGCTTTTTAATGAAGATGTTTTGTATGATAATTCGTGAACTAGTACTCCCTAAAAGTTTGTGCAGCAAGAGTATGCCACTTTTGATGCGGCTAAATACTTAAAGTTAACAGGGCAATATGGAAACAGTCTTAATTAAGAGCAATAACTAGACTTAATGCGTTTGGAATCAAGAATCTTTCAGTATTCGATAGTTGTTAATGAAATTTATCATCTAATATTGTAGAATGGTTCTGTCTGTTTTTAGTTTGATGTGTCAGTACTTACTTGAACATTCAGTATATATCATTTTGTATTTTCTTTAGTAATGAATCTGTTTCTATGTTGCCTGTTACACTCGTGTATTAATTCACCGTACTATGTATTTCGTGAAATATGCAAATGTATAATCTCGAAACCAAAGATACATGCATAAGATCATCGTGTACTTTGGAATAATACAACTTGAGTGGACATGCTGTGCACCATGATGAAAATGTACATAAGATTGTCAATAAAAGAAAAAACTTCGTACATCCTTTTATTCAAAAATCATTCTTTTCTATACAGTACCCTGTGCGTGTGTAAAGCTTTTGTTTTTCATATGAATGATTATTTTGCTTTATGTATAACCTATGCTTATTGTTATGTCTCTTTTTTTATATAAACAACACGATTTGTTTGACAAATATCGTTTATTAAACCCACAATAATTTTAATGTTCTGGTCATAAATAAGAATTTTACGGATTAAATAAAAATTGCTACCAAACGGATTTTCTAAAGCATTAAACTAAAGCTCGTCGCTGGGCTAATACTTCAGAAAATGTTACGAGTTACAGTTTAATTTAAAATGAGCATGGACTTGATGAACATGTTCTCACATACGAAACATTACACCATCAAAGAATACACGGATATGTTGAAAAATGAATCGTGCACGAATTATACAAGAATTTTACCAAAATTAATATTATAAGATGTTTCGATGATCATTAAAAAAAATGAAACAGTACAAATTCGATAAAATCATTGGCACCAACATAAATGCTTCTCTTTCTCTCGCATGAGCTACATATATATTGTTTAGCTAAAACCGAGTAGAAATATATTATTACGTGAAAAATAGTAGAGAGTGGCGCATTTTTGCCTACTTTTTTACTTGACAAAATCGTAAAATTACTATACGTCCGATTATTTGAAATCGTATTTTTATCGTCGCAAATGCGGTGTACTTTTAACTCGTAAAAAGAAGTTCAATTCACATTTACTAGCTTCTGCACTTTGATCGATATATTTTACGGTTCTGCTTCTTAGGCTAATTTTCGTGACTCTTGGCACTTAGCACCAAACTTTTAGAAATGCAATTGCAGATGAAGGCGTATCTGATTTAATATAATACGTAAATCTCTATCTTTCTATTAAACGAATTTCTAATTACGCCATACACATATTTTGATCGTATACATTTAGGAAGCTCACCGTTTATAATTCAATTTAAATTAGAAGTTTGGTTAACAAATTTATTAATTTGATACGGCTTCTTAAATTGTGAAAAACACGTTTCTTCTGCGCACTCAGTTTAATTATAAATCTAACAATTCAATAGAACCATATATTATTTTCGAAAGGTGTATTCTTTCAGATTTTGAAGTGAAAATTCCATTCCTAATTTTGATTTAGCGATTATTTCCTATTGTACCAGTAAATACATATGTTATTCGTTCAGTTATTAATATCTTTTCGTCAAGTTCTTTCAAAATGCTTTCTTCCTACAAATAGGAGAATATTTTAATCCAAGATACCAACTTACAACAAATTGATCTAATAAGAGAAACACGCTTTACTTTTGAATAGCGTAAAATGTTACTTCAAGCGTGAAAACGCAGTGCTTTTTTCGAGACCAAAATTACGACGTTCGCTAATAAAAAAAAATCTAAAATGTAATTTTTCATTATAAGCTAAACGTGAGAGTACCTATTACAGATCCGCAAAGTGCGGTGACATATAATTCACGCATTTTGAAACTACTTATTCACGCTTTAGTATCATGTCGCGTAAGTATTTTCTCGCTAATTTTGTCAAAACACCGCAATGTTTCATGGCAGCAAAACATATGTAAAAACTTGTGTATGTAATTCAAACAGGTTGCACTAAAGTTTCCCAATTAATCAGTGTCTACTAACCTTTAGAATACTACGAAACAGCAATTCTAATTGGTGTTCCAAAAGGTATGCAATTTTATCGAGTCGAGTTCTTCTAATGTGCGCATTCATCTTCTTATCAATTTAATCAACGTTTCGCACAAAATAGCGTTCAAAAGGATTATAGATTTGCGTGCTTGGAGTTTGCCACAGCGGTTATCGTATGTTTCAAACGAAATATATGATTTGAGATTTACAATAATGCAAGGACATCGAACATGGTATTGCATTGACGACACTTCGTTATGATTTGCCAAGAAGCTGTCGTCGTCAGTGGCAAAAATCCCAGGCGGTTCTTCGCTAGTTTTTGTTTAAATTGAAGGAGCGCTTTAATTCACGATGATAATGGAAACGGCGATATTCATTTGAGCTATAACAAGATTCTTTGCCAATCGACCGTTCATGGTAATGCATCGTCGAACAGGAAGCCATGGGAGAAGAACGGTTTCATTGTCAGATGTCATCCGCTCCGTCCTCACTCTCCTCAGGAACATAATGTATCATTTATGCATCCAAAATCCACATTCACACATTTCCGACTCGCACAATGGTGGTGGGGTGACGCTATATGGATGGTGATGGATTAAGTCTTGTGCATGGTTGACGGTACACGACGACATCTCTCTATACATTCGTCGTTGAACACCGTTCACGAGGTGGCTCGTAGCTTTTCCAACGCGGGCACCAATGGCTCCTCAATAGAGGGACCACAAGTCAGTCCGCATTCACCAATCCATCTTGCTTTACCACTGGTGTGGGACTGTAAAGAAAAAAAAAAACAATTTGTTTTAATTTACTCACTAAATTTACTCGGTGTATAAATTGTGACGGTTTATAATAATATAATCGACATAAAGTTTCACGAACGCTCAATATGTAGTTGTATCAACTACTTCGACCGCTTAATTTTGTTTGAGCTTATTACGAACAAAACAGTCGTTAATATGACCTTGGTGGTAACACGAGGCTATTGTAGATGTCGTTCGCAAAATTGATAAGCACAATTGTTGATCTTACACGTTTAACATCGAACGTCTAATTAATTAATTAATTATTAATTTATTTTAATAATTTGTTATGAACATGTGCTCGCATTGAAAATACAAGCTCACTTCTTTTTGAGATTTTTTTCTTATTTCCACACTAATGAACACTTGTCAGCTCATGAAGAGAAAAAGTGACAAGAAAACGAATTGATCGAAGAGCTTTTTACGGTGTTTACAGGGTATATACACCACAGCTGAGAGGGAAATAGATATTTACCATAGTAAGGTCGCGTTTCCATGAGGTGCGGCAACGTCCGTCACAAAGTGGGCACGGTCGTTGAAGGGAATAGCCGCCGCATTCGCTGCAGTCGAGAGAGACGTGATCTTCACTCCACGAAACTCCACATCTGCAAATAAAAAATAGTTTTTTCGTTAGAAAAGCCGTTCAATAATTTTAAGAAATCAATAGAAAACACATGCGTACAATGAAGGATAGAGAAAAGATAAAGCATTAATTCGGTTGGTACTTTTAACGCAAAAAATACAATAGTGAGAAATTGCGTATTATATTTGAATAAGATATTATTTTATCTTAGTTATCTTAAGAATAAGAAAGTCGCTTGATTGCACAATGTATAGACCTTTATTGTTAATCCTATAATTATAAAATCATAAAGTGGAAGTAATTATAAAACCGATAGGTTATGAAAATGTCTTAAGTTCAACCTCAGTCAGTGCATTGTTTCATGCGAGCTGCTAACTGCGCTACATTTTTCTAAAAACATATGAACCATGTAAGCTCGTATGTTTTTTTATTTTGTACTATCTTAGTAATTACTGGCTTCGTGTGAAGGTAAATCAAGTTTATACTTTTAGTTTTAACGAATACATTCTAGAATCATATAAAAATACTTTTTTTTACAACGTAGAATATTACGATCAGTGTTATCGTGTTAAAATTTATCGATTCAAACGCAGAACAGTGGCGTGATCATTATCGTTTCCTTCATATATTAAAATTTACTTTGATTTTTCATCAATTTGCATTTTATCATTTTGTTTAAACCTAAATTCAGTTTCAGTTTTTTTCAAATACTTGTACGTATCTCATAACGAAGACAATGAAAGAGTAATTCATTTTAATGGCGAACAAGATTACATAATAACAATACCTATGTATTTGCATTAGACTATATCCTTCCATTTGTACACGTTAGGTCAATACAATAGATCTATTATCTATTTTCTGTTATTTATATCGTCTTACATGTCTTATCTCAATGACTGCTCATTATAAACGTGTGTATCATATACAAGAATAATAAAACACACTACCTTCCCTTTCATTTTTGTTATTGCTGATTTTAAAAACTTTTTCAACAGATTCTTAACAACCAAGCAAATACAAATATTATTAGACGATAAATTCAATAAACTGATCTATAATTAACTATGACAATTTATCACCATTTTAAACTCTGAACCCTTTCTTTTTTCCTACATGCCTTACCAACCTTCGAAAAAATAAAAACCTGACAAAATATTACCAGTACATCTTCGTTTCCCATTGATTACAGTAAAAATGCGTACTTTTCAAAATGAAATATTCTTTCTAAAACAACTAGGAATGGCAAAGCACTAAATGGTCGTAGGAAGATTAATTTCAACCAAATCTATCATTTTCTTTCAGGCTGTCTCCTTCAAGCGGCAGTGACGTAACAATCAGATTCGATTGAAACAATGAAGTCCCAAGAATTACAGGGTTTAAACCGGATTTCTCCGTGGTATCTGACGCGTTTAATGCGCGATCAACGTCTAAAACGAATTTAATCATCGTAACTCCGGATCATGTCGGATTCTATTGTCGATCTATTGTCGGCTCGCCGTCGGGACAAAAGTTCAACTTTGCTCAGCCAACTAGAGAGGCTTGTTCTCAGGATCTCGGTTGCTTACACACACCCGTGCACGCGAGATACGGACGAAACGTAGCGTTGTGTGAGGTATATTCGTTCATCAAGTGGGACAGCGACAGAAATCATGCATGCAAAACGATCGTGAGACGATTAGAAGTCAATAGCCCAAGGAGAGAGTGTAATTACTGGCCTATATTAAAAATTATGTAAGAATGGACCCAGCCGGGTTAATTGTTTTTGATAGCTTCTACTATTCAATCAGCCTGCGACTTTTATCGATTACTGCCAGTCTGAAGAAAACTTGCTCGCGCGAGCATCATCGCCTGTGACGCAATAGATACTAGATAGGAAACTATGAAATTTCATGGGCTATTTTTACCGTCACCAATAAATCAAGCTGACACAGCCAATAGTTCTAGTGCATTTTGAAGTTTAAATATTATACTTTCACTGGTTTTTTGCAATTCTAATACCCAGTGAAAATTTGTATTCTGAAGTTTGAATTGGTCACCCTGTAGTATTTTCACCTTGGAGATATATGATTTGGTATATGATTTTCCACGTTTTTCAATCAATGGTGAAAATTAAAATCTTGAAGCTTTTGTAACTTCTATTAGAATAATTGAATTTCTTTCCTAATTTGAACTTTGTTTCAAGGGAATATTTATCTTATTTGAAATTATCATGTAGAAGTACATAAATATTTGTGTACTTTTTCTATTATTATTGGAGAGTCCAATAGTAACATTTTTCAAATCACAAGGAAACATTTATACCTCAAAATTTAATTAAAAAGCTTTTGTTGTCCAGAAAATACAAATTCAAAACAAGTGAGAGAGAAAACAATAGCCACTTTATAATCTCACATCTTAATATAGTTTTAGTTGTAAGGAATTTAATTTTCAAAGTACCATAAACGCAAATCCATGGAATAAATTGACTAAGTCTTTTCAGATATCTCAACCAGCTTACATGAAGCAACAGTCTGATGAGACAGAGAAGAGAGAGAAAGGAATCGTGCTGTGAAACTCACGTGAAGCAAGAGTTCAGTTGAGCACGAAGTTCCTCAATAGTGAGGATCGTATCCTGGTACTGAGGATGAGATCCTTGGAGGCCATCGTCGACGCTCCCGCATGAACTGTGGCAGGACAGAGAGATATTGCTCCTGGAAGCATAAATTAAACGAAAATCTTTAATATAAAACGTACTTTCAATCTTCTTTTTACTGTGTTTAAAATAACAAATATAGATATGATTATTTATATAAAATGAAAAATTGTAAAAATTTGAAGGTGCAGTTTACGGATAAGAAGTTCAGACAAATGTTTTTTAACAAGTACACCTAAGTGCATATAATGATTGCAAAAGTTTAATAGATAATTAAATGAAACTGTATACCAAAGTATACTTGGAAGTTTCTAGTTAAACGCAAGAATTAGAGAATGTTAATGGAGCTTGTTAACAAGCTCGTCAAGACTACATGACGCAGCACAATGTAAAATTTGCGAAAAATTCACAGACGATATATGTAACACTAAAGAAATTAACCGGAAATATTCGAATTATAAAGCGATGCTACATAAACGCCAAGAAATTTTATAATACTATTCTTTAGTAACGTAATTAATAAGGACAATTAATATCGAAACAATAAATATTAAATACAATACTTAGTATTTAATTCTATTATTTGTATTTGGACATTTGACTTTTCCTCTTAAATTTCTATTGCTTGAGAATTAAATTATTTCCATAATTCATGAACAATAAATTATACGATGTGTAATTATGCGAATTTTAGTAATACGTTATCATCCCCCTTCGATATTCCAAGAAACGTAACGTAAAAAACGCGCTCTTTTATCCTGATACGAACAAATAGTAGTTTTTTGCACAATAAACAGGAAAGGTAGAGGCGTCATACGCAGAAAAAGATTCTCTTTACTAAAAATACTCCTAATAACATATTCTTCGTACCAAAAAAAAAAAAAAATGCGACGTTACGTCAAATGTTCACAAACGATTCTGTAAAATTCCAGAAGTTATAATTATAACATTCGCGATATTTCACGCTCGATACCGACAATAATCTTATCAAAAATTGTCGACTAATAATTTGCTAAGTAAGCAGAAATAAATCAGATTTATTCTTTTTGTCTTGCTCAAAGAATGCTGTTGAGAATGATCGAAGCGGATTCGAGAGGTTAACCTTCGATACTTTAGTGCGTTAAACCCGGAAGATTACGGGAGACTAAGGTTATTCATTTTTTACGCTCTTTTTTTTATTGATTGTTACGGTTTTTGCGAGTAACTGTTCACGTCAACCTGTAATCGGCACATCTGTTGACACAAGTTTCGTTTGAAAGATAAAACTCTTACCACTCGACTACCAATTTGGAAATATATAGGGTGCTCAGTAAGAACTGAAACGAATATTGAAACGTTTCTATTTTAGAGATAAGGAAAAGTACAAAAATAACAGCCAGTAATAATATCTATAACTTAATAATAAAATATACCTGTATTTTAGGTTAACGAACTTGAAAACAGAATTTTGTTTTCTCATAGAAACAAAACTAACAGTTTTGTGCAATCTAAGAAGAAATTTCGTGAAAACAATTTACTTTTTCTCTCATTTGCCAATTTCTGCATCACTCTGTGCAGAATACTTGATATTCTGAAAAAGAACGTTAGAGATTTTACTTCGCAGACACAAATTGCCTAGTGTCTATTTAGAGGTTAGCTTAGTCGTAAAACAAACGAAAAAAAAAACACACTAAGTAGATAATAGATCATTAATTCACCTGTCGATCGATAACAATCGAACAATAACATTAGTCGTGTCGAATTCTTCCATTCTCTTATCACGTCTGATTCGTGATCAGGCATTGATTTTCACGTGATTGTTCCTTTGAAATGCTCGAGAAAAAATAAATAGTGGGACAGAATCAGGAAGGCGGATGATCATCACCAATATATAGATACACGCATATATGCGTCTACATATGTTAAAATATGCAGAGATGGAAATCAGGAAGAAAAACGTTTCTTTCACGTGACACTAACGTGGGCGAGCATGTAACAAGCGGTCTGCGCGCAACTCTAACGCGCATGTGTGAAAAAGAATGACGCGCAAATCTCGGAACCAGTAAGCCAACCGTTGCTTTTTTACTGTGAATACATACATATGCCTTTCAACATTCGAGGGCACTGTGAGACGCCAGTAAAGGAGAGAGAAAAAAAAAAAAGAATGAAACGAAAACTGAAAAGAACCAGGAAACGGTTGTTTGTTTTTACGTAACGAACGGTTAGTTTTAAACGTTCGGTTGATTCGCTTAAGCGTAGGTTAGGATTTTAGTTTGAACTGTCACGTGACCACTGTGAGTGGGGACCACTTATACGAAATTGTAGTTGATCGGAGGTAAGTGAATTAATTCTGTCTTAAAATGGTGTAGTTGCTTGTTATGTAATTATTTAATAAAAAGAGTCAAACGATAACGGTTAAAATTTAGATCGCTATATTTTAGTTCATGTACCTACAACGTATTTTACTTTCAAACCAACTTATTATTATTACTATGGGTATGATAAAATACGTTTAGGAATTTCTCATCTAGCATTGGTCGAAATGAGACATGTTAAAAAAATATGAGTTTAAGAACGCTGCATTTTATCTTTTTATCCTTCATAGAAGGAACTTAAAAAACATTTTCATGTTCATTTGTTTCACGTTTATTTCAACAAGATAATATATTTCAATTGATTTCAATTTATATTTCAATTTTATTTCAATTGATATAAATGTAGAACCAATGGAACCTATGATAAAAACATCCGGTAATTTAAAAATTATTCATTTTATAATGTATGTATATTTGCTATCGACAATTCTTGGTATCATGAATTTACGAACACTATCTATCTCTAATTTTTTCAATATTTTCTTGACATAAGATACAATATATCTCTTCCAGGAAAATAGCCAGCTAGTTAGCTCACTAATTGTCGGAAAAACTTTAAATGCAACGCAAAAGTTTCATTAACACATTGTACACATCATCAAGTTAGAATTTCTGGAAGAAATTTTACAATCTACATGTGAAATAACGTACGTATCTCTTGAATATAATATCGTGTATATAACGTTACACAATTCTATTTCGTAAAATCTTTTTTTTTTCTTTTTCTTAGAAACTTCGTTTTAAGGTTACGTCTCAATAGAACTACAAAAATGCAAAGCACAAAAGTTATGCGACTAATTATATACACGAGGTGCACAAGTAATACGATTTAGTTATTGTATTATCAATGCAATGAATATTCACCATATTGTGTATTGACAAATACGTACTTAGAAAGCTGCCTTTTCTTCGTCATTTCCACGCTCGTTGATTTTCAATTTTCTCGTCGCTTTTGCGTTATAACAAACGTCCAAAAAAATCATAAAGTCTATGAATCTATGACGTACATATCTTTTCTTTTTGCATTTCCTTGTAGATCATGCCACTGAAAGGAGGCCACACGTTACGCACGCAAGAGAGTTGTTCGTGGCACGACTGCCCTTTGCACACTATGCACACGCGAAGTGAACTTATATACGCAACTCGCACATCATTAAACGGGAACAACGTGACCGTGTAGGCTAAAGGATGAAACGTTCCCCCTCCCCTTTCTTCTCTACCTCTCACAGCAATTTCGAGAATTTCCGGCTTGCATTAAGTATTAATTAACCACGATAAAGCTAATGACGCACTGTGAAATTCTTTGCAGCACTACCACTAATGTACACGAACGTGAACTCTTAAATGGAACTGTGAAGGAAGTGGAATTACCTGCGGTACGAATTAAAGGTGTGATTTTTGAATCTACAAAAAATGTATAATACAAAATATGGATTTTTCTTTTTAGAAGTTTTCGAGTTTCGAAAAGTCTGAGGAAACAACTGTCTTATCTTGTTTATCTTCTTTTGTATCGTTCTTGAGCACGTCTGTGGTGTTTCAACAGTTGGAATGTCGCCCTTGACGTCGTTTCTACGCCATTCCTTTTTTAATCAACCAGACGTGTGTTAAAATGAACCATTGAAAGGTGAAAGAATTTACGAAGAATGTTTTTATAAATAGACTCGTAGTTTATTAATGTTTAAATGTGTACTTTCGTTATAGTTGTACTATTTACCGCTATGTATACATTTACTTTAATCTTCGTGTAAATTATAATTTTATTTAAATTAGTATTCGAAGTGTTATCTATTTTTTTTTAAAACTTTCTAATCCTCAATCCTAAAATGTATCCAAAGCGAATTATAAATGAATATAGACACTAAATCGTTTGCAGATTATTATCTAAACGTCTGCTAAAAAGTCTCTAACAAAAAGAAAGCAATTATCGACCATAACCATATATAAAAGAGGAACCAAGGTAATATATCTGACTATTATAATCGTACAGATTCAAAAAACATATATCAGCATTACTCTTGTCACCCATTTTTCAGCCAATCATTGAACAGGCTATTATGGCACAAATAAAAGTGTCCATAACTTCCAGTACGAGATCTAAAAAGCGAAGAATTCACCGTTGACCCAAATAATTTAATTGTTACTTCAAAGAGTATTCGCCCAGCAAGCAAAAGAGATCCGGATTTGAATCTCGGTCGAGGTTTCTCTCTGTGTGTATACTTAAGCATACTTAAGTATCTGCCAATAACTTGACAATCCTATTACACTTCCTACATTTTAAATATACTAAAAAAAAAACAAAAGAAAAAATTAAAAACAGCAAATCTACTCTATTCAAAAATATTACAAAGCATACTTAAGCATATTTAAATATTTGCCAATAACTTGACAATATTCTTACACTTTCTACATCTTAAATATACTCAAAAGAATGAAATAAAAAATGAAAAAAGTAAAATAAAAATCTACATTGTCCAAAAATACATCTACCAACTAGTTATACTAAACTATGCGAGAACTTTGCACTGGTTACTAAATAAAACACGACAGAACAATGAAATAGGTTTAAATTTCGCTTCTATTACGAGATATCCAACAGTTTACAATCGTTAGAAGTCGTCCTTCGTGGTTTTCTCAGGTGCAATGGCGTAACGTCCACAGGCGCCACCGCCACGTACCTCTATTATGCAAAAGCAACGCGACTTCCAGGAATAATACAACACTAATAATAATTCTAGAAAATGACCTCCCTGGATTTTTTCTATACTCTTCTTGCTTCTTTCCAGATTTCTGAGTGTGTAGCAAGAGTACACGTAGCGTTCTCTCATTCACTGTGTGTGCGAGTCAGAAGACTATCCATTAGAGACATCTCGCTATGGGTTCCATCCATAAATTGGCGAGGGTAAGAGTTGGATCGATTGAATAAACTAGGTCGCAAGTTTCGAAGACGAGTCGGTTTCTACAGGATACACAACGCATGCTTGAATTGGAGAACAACCATGTTGCAAAGTGTATCTAAATACAGACTACAAGGTATACTCTGATCAAACTGAAGAATTTCTTTTATTCATAGTTTCCGTGAATTGGAGGATGTAAAACTTACTGAGCTAAAAATTTAAATAATTATCACCTTAAAGGAATCTGCAAGATGAGAGTAATATAAGGAACTGGTTTTGTTAAGAGGAAAATAGCAATGGGGAAAAGAAGAGTTAGTAGAACTTTGTTCTGTGCAATGATTGATGGACTGTTTAATATAACAAGAGGTTGAAATTTTCTTATTTTCATAAATTATTAATTTTCTTCCTTTTCTAAATTATTAATTTTCTTATTTTCCTTTCTTTTCTATCAATCGCAAGCTTTTTACTTTATATTTATATTTTACTTTAATTACTTTACATTGATATTTCACTCAGTTTTCTCCATTTTTCTTAGATCCTTAGATGACTTATCTGAGAAGAAATTAGAAAACAACTCACCCATGACGAGAAAGACTCTCAGTAGCTGGCTGAACGGACGTTGTTACAGACATGTTTTGATGTGTTACAACTGAGACAGAAAGAGAAACAGAATTAATTAGCGGCGGGAAAGAATCGAGGACGCATGAAAGAGGAATCCCCGCGGGGGATTCCTGAATAAACATTTCCCCAGAAATGTATATATCCCCGTGGTATCGGGAGGAACGGTTTCAAAGTCATCGAACGAACCATAAGTATGTGGCACAAGAGAACGCGAAGGACATCCGCGATAAGTTTCACCGTGGATCTCTCACCTTGGCACGAAACAGTCACTTTTACTTTCCCCACGAGAAAAGAAAGCCGAACGATCCCGGCACACGCTCTGAATCCTTTATTTCGACCAATCTCCGAGTTTCCTCGCCGTAACAAATTGTGTAATCTGTTCTACAGAAGCATTCCTCCTCTTTCCACGGAAGAGACAAATTATTTCAATTGTCCGTGAAAATGCAGCAAAAAAGATGCATCATTTTTTCTTTATTTTCGTAAATATAGTTGCTACAGTTAAAATATTTATCTGTTTGGATAATGTGAAGCATAAAAATGTTCAGTAATATTTTTCTAGGATAGATAGTGTTTTGTTACACAGTGTTTATTATTCTTTTTCCTTAATTCAACTGTTTAACAAATTAATGTAAATTACTTTTCTCTGCACTTTTAATGTACACTTTTATAAACTATGAATTCGTTTACTGAAACGTTCTTCACTGAGTGTTCATACAGTAAAATGATTTTAACTAAGCTTTCTACATACAAGGAAACAAATTTCAACAAGAATAATTACATATTTTTCTAATTTCTCTCTATACTTCAAATATCTTCAATATTCCATTTAAATAAATATTTTTCATATTGTACAAAATAGTAATCCAAGCTTCAGAAATTTTATTCTACACTTAACGTTCATTTCTCTAACACATGAAGCTAATTCACTTTGTTGCTGCATTTGTTCCAAAGCGTTCCACGCTTCGCAACCGTTTCGTACCATAAGAAATCAATATGGAAGGCACATTGTAACGGTAATAATTATAAAACGAGATCTCAGCATCGATACAAGGTCGTGGGAGAATGTCAAGGATTTCGCATTGGCAACGCGTACTAAATTCCACTATTAAAGCAGCTACGCAGAAGGCTTCACGTACTTATACATGGTAAAGCAAATGCGGGTGGAAATGAAATTTGTAAGATTCATATTTATGATAAATTCGACGTGACAAAGGATATGCAAAGCTGCGTTGTAGCACAAATTGTGCCGCGAAGGAATAAAAGCCATTCAAAGCAATTTTCGTTGACCCCTTGCAGGCAGTTTGTGTCTTTGATGACCCAAGTGAAATTTCACTACTGTATTTCTTCTAAATGAATTTATATTGAAAAAAAGTTTCAAAAACCCGACTTAACGAACAATTGTATAATATAGCAGAGACTTTGATAAGTACTCCAGAATACTTAGATACTTAGAACAGCAAAAATATTTAATTTGAACACAAACTAACCTCAAAAATCATTTTAAACCCTTTCACTAAAAAAACAAATAGAGAAAAATAGAACGAGTTTGCTTTAAATAACTCAGTCTGGAGGACATTTTCCATGTATGAGATTTTGAATATAAATTTTGAAATGGTGTATTAATTTGGCGGCAAATTTAAAAAATGTACGATTCCAATCAAACGATAATTCCAATAATGTTTTACGGCTGTTTGAACGGCAAAATTCAAACGAACGACAATGCAACTACTTCAGTTATCTGTGAACATTTTTCTCCATCGTTCAAAGTACTGTACCACGTATGAAGCAGGTATTATTAATAAGATCGATGGTGTTGGTCTATCATGCGTATAAATTACAGCGTTCAATGGATTATAAACTTTCAAGAATATGACAACGATGATCGATATCGATTGTATTAGGTGTCGCGATATTAGTCTTGATTGAAAACCTCGTTAAAACGAGTCTGGTTTTCATCTTACAATAAGAATACGTAGAAATAGGACAAATTAACAACCCGCTCGACGAGCCTGTAACTTTTTCTTTCTTCTACTCTATAATACACGCCTGCAATCCGCTTAATAACGAAGAAACTCAGCATTGAAAACAACCGATAAACATTTTTTTTTCTTGACGTCACCGCTGTTTGTAATAAGAAGCTTTCTTATTGAATTTCCGAGACATCAAACCGACTGAGTCACTGAAATATGTTTATTTGTCCTTTTACTTTTGATTGCACGCACGATCGATGTTTCTTTTCAACGGCGACAATAGAGTCACGTTTCTATTATATTATCTTTGTCAGTTATTCATAATGTTAGTTGGAGAGGACGACAGAGAATACTTATAACGTTATTGGAATGAATTCTCAATCAACTCTCCAAATAAAATTGTACGAAATGATTACATTTCAGAATTTGTAAAATGGGAAAAAGCTAGTGAAACAATTTTTGCCATATTTTTCATACAAATACTTCACTGTGTAGAAAGCTATTTAAATATTCTTGCATATTTTTATTCAGTAAGCTAAAATTTAACGAAAAGAAAATTTCTTTAAAAAGAAATTTACATATCGTCCTATATTTTGACTTCGTCAATGTTTCAACCTGGTGTACCAATACTTTTCAAAATCAAAGGGTTAAAAAACTAACCGATAAGTCCTCACTTGATTAATTTAATCACGCTACAATTTTTTCTCATAACAGTTAATTCACGATTTTGTAAATCAATTAATTTCAATTAACCCTTTCAGAGTTTTTTTACTGACTGTTTTAATGACTTAACCCTTTGACTGCGAGCTGTTCTAAGTTGAAGCGCTTCGCGGCCCGCGGATGCGATCGCTGGGGACTGAAAACTTTTTCGCGCGGTATGGGATCTCGTCGGCGGCGTGCTAACAACTGTATGGCTACAGATGAAACGAGTTTAAGATACGGAGAATAACTGACGAAATAAACAAGAGTTTGTTTTTTCTCGTTGCTAAACAACGAGGTATGTGGTTTCCGCGAGTGTTGGACATATACGATAGAAACAATTGCCGAACATGCATATGAGACAATAGTAAAGAACCAAAGCCTTCGTCGGGCGCATATATGCGTCCATAGGCCACAATGATAGCCTTTGCTGGACGCATATATGCGCCCATAGCAGTCAAAGGGTTAAATTACTCACGAATAATGTAAAATCACATGTTTATTTTCTCTTGTCTAATTTTTCAATCATTTCAACGAACGATCAACGCACACATCAACCTCCTCCAAAGTAAACCTTCCAAACACACAAAGGGTCGATAATTTTTCAATCATTTCAACGAACGATCAACGCACACATCAACCTCCTCCAAAGTAAACCTTCAAATAAAAACCAACAAATAAAATTTCGAATCGAATCTACGAAGCAGGAACACTGCTGGAACACTCATCCACGTCTTGCATAATCTCGCAGCTGAACGAAAAACTGCGTTAACAGTGTTCGAAAGAAAACGAGCACGGGGAACAAAGGCGTTTATTTATTCGCGAGATTGCTTTGTTAATGGCGCGATACCATAAAACGCAATTGCAACGCGACAGGATGGAAACGGTTGCGTACAACCTGGTACAATTTCGCGTTTGACAATCTGAGGGAAGGAGAAAAGAAAAAGGGGGAAAAGATCGAAGGCACACACAGTGGAATTTGCGCAACGAAATGCAACCGAGCGCAATCACATCGATTCGAAAATAAATGCAGCTCTCCTATTAGCCGCCTGACGACCTAATTTCCTCTCGCGTTCTATCGGTTCGCGTGTTACACGCGTATTCCACGCGACCAATGAACCCGAAATCAATTCATCTGCTGAACGCCATTTGTATATATAAAACGTCGATAATGACACTTCCACCACCACGTTTTACATGTGCACTCAGGCACACACCTAATTTTCTCCTCGAGCAACATGTTTGAAAGCATAACGAGTGAAACCTCCAATTTCTATCACGATCGTTCTTTTCTACGCGAAAATTTATAGATACGTGTGTGTATCTATTGGAATTTGGCTAAAGACGAATTTTTAATAATTGTGATGCAATTAATAAATAACAGTAGCTAATAGTGATATATAATGATGATGATGGTGATAAATTTAAGAAAATGACTTAAATTGTTATTTTATGTTTGTAGATGGAATACGAATGAGGAAATTGATACCGCGAGAGTAATTTTCCTGCAATTTCTTATATCTGATTGTATTTAACATGTTTTAACATGTTAGTAGCAAGTTTACATAACGTTTGAAGTAAAATGAAAGTTTCAAGTAATTTTGGTTTAAACGTAGAGAAATTTCTAAATTCGCTAAAGTCCTTCCGCCAATACTTCGAATTGATTAGGTGCTTATTTAGGTAAGGTAGTAATTGAAATGGTAAACGAAATATTTTCACTATCGAAATATAATATCGCGTATTGAAGCTTTTTTAAAAAATGTATTTTCCATGTTTAAATTTTCTAAAAATTGTCGTTTGAAACCTCGAACACCTCGAGAAATAGTAAACTATTCTAAGTAGTAAGAATTGTATGCGAAAGTTAATGTAAAGTTATACAACTCCATGTGGAGTTTTTTTTGGGATTAATAAAAAACAAAATTATTTCATAGTTAAATTTACCTCAAATTTAAATCTGAAGCGAAGATTAATATTTGCAAGAAAATTTCCAATATTTTCATCTCCAGAATTATTTCACTATATTCTGCACTTAGTTACAAATTTCCATAATTTATCACGGAAATTTTCATTCATGGTATTGTCATAAGGGGGAAGATGTACATACACTAAAGAAAATTGAATTAGAATTCTGTTCGTTCCTTGCATTATTCAATATGGAATACACGTGAAACAATTTATAATTTCACAAATAAAAATCAATTACGGATCATCGATTTGCAACAGCGTCATTGAACGATTGTAAACCGAAGTGAAAGGGTAACACAAGCCAACGAAAAGAGAACAAGGAGATTGCTGATAAAGGATATTCTCACGTGACTGCTTTTGCTGTTGAAGACATTAGTAATACAATCGTAAAAAT